CGTACTGAAGATGGGAACATTAGTTCGAAATAATATAATAATAATGCTTCCACTGTTATGAATTCTGGGTTGTGGGTTTGATGAACCAGACATGAGTAATTGAACTGTAAACTTCACGACCGAGCTGTTAAAAGGAGAATGAAGAAAATTGGTGCTAAGTATGAAAAATGTAAGCAGAGTAAGAAAATAGGCAGAATAGTGGTTAGAGAGAGATAAAAAAAAAACTAACGAGCAAAATGTGGTAAGAAAAAAAAATGGCTGCTAATAATAAAAGCACATTAGTCTCGCTAATTAATAGCACAGGAAAAACGCAATTAAACAAACAATGACATTAGCAAAGGAAGGAAATTGATTATCAAAACGGGAAAGAGCAACATTTGCAGCCAGATAATCAAACTTAAGCCATAATGAACCTGCTGTCGATTTAGACGTGTGAAAACATTTACTACTGTAACAAACGAAGTCTATGCGCGTGAAGCAAGAAAACTTAACAAAACAGCATTATTCTTTTTAATCAAAAGTATCAATTCGGCTTTTTGTTGAAACCAACACTACCCAAAATCCATTCTCTGAATGTCGCTTCCAATGCATATATGTTCTTGCGTAAAGACCCACCAAATATGTTAGGGATGCATTTAGGGTCGATTTGTGTATGAAACAAATCTGATACTTTTTCTTTGCTTGTCTGTTCCTGTGAGATATTCTACACGACATTGTTGAAAACTAGGTTTGTATTAAGAGGTTGACGGTCATGTCATCATATATTAGTACGAGGGGGAACCCCCAAATAACCGGAATTGTGTCATATAATCTTATTAATTTATTGTTGCATGTTTATATTCTTATCACCTTTAAAGTATTCTCCATTTGAAGCAATGCACCGGTGCAGACGTGTTTTCCCCTGTTCAAAGAAATCCTGGAACTCCTGTGAAGTTATGTTTTTTAATGACTCTGTCATTTTCTTCTTAACCTCTTCCTCATCTGCAAAACGTTTTCCTTTAAGGACTTTCTTCATTCGGGGGAACAAAAAAAAAAGTTGCAGGGGGTGGGGAATCGGGTGAATAGGGAGGGTGGGGAAGTGGGGTCATGTCATTCTTGGTTAGAAACTGTCTCACATTCAAGGCGGTGTGCGCTGGTGCATTGTCGTGATGCAACCACTACCTTCCACAGTCACCGTGTTTTCGTCTCTCCTTGTCTCGCACACGCTTCAGGACTTCCAAGTAAAACGCCTGGTTAACAGTTTGACCAGGAGGAACAAATTCTTTGTGGAGAATTCCTTTCACATGAAAGGAAAAACTCTTGGCATTGGATTTCACTTGATACGCTTTTTTGGGTCGTGGTGACGTTGGATGCTTCCACTGACTTGATTGCTGCTTCGTTTCCAGGCCTTAGCCATAGCACCAACTTTCGTTACCAGTGATGACCTTCGAAAAAAGGTCTGGATCAACTTCCAACTGTTCTTTCATTTTACGACAGGCATCCTTTCATGGTAAAAATAAACGAAAAGGCGGGAAGCACTTCAAAACAAATGTGAACCACGGAGCTGTACGATGACACCAGTTAGCACACTAATGCCTGACGTTTGCCGCAAGTGACATCTAGCGGTGGAAGCCTGAACTGCTACGGACTTGTCACACAGAAAACGATCCCGTTTACGTTTCGGCCCCCTGTTAACATGGTTTTTCGACTTACTACCAGATACCAGTGACAAATTTGGGGAAACACATATGGCCGTCTAGTTCTTTTAACTTTTATTTTAATGTTCTATAAATGTATGCTAGGTATAAAAAATGTCGTGACTATTTGTCCAATTCGTCGTTTTCTTTTCACTTTACACTCACTCCTTTGTAAAACCCGAAAGAAAATTATTATGCGCACAAAAGGTAGCTATCACCGCTAGTTGGGGGCATGAGTTCTGAGGTTTAGAAAAAGACATCGATAGCCATTTTCTTTATAATAATATTAACACTAACATTTTTAATTAATACCAAATATAATCTTTTATAAAATATTTAAATAGAATAATGTCCCCCTCCATATGGCTCTATTCTTTCTTTTTATGTGCCGTGTCCTTTCAGGACGTAGGCGATCATGGCTCTCCACCTCCTTCTATCCCTTGCAGCTCTCAACAAGTTCCTTTCCTTTGCCTCCTCCCCCAGATAACGTTCTGTCATCCACTTGCTTAAGCCCGCTAGGCATGTCACGCGTTGTTTCCTCTTGTCTCTCTTTCCTTCTATTCGACCTGTGAGTATCACATTCTCCAGGCCCTCCTTCCTCATTATGTGTCCCATAAATTTCAGCTGCCTCTGCCTGATGTTAAGTGTAAGCCTCCTCCTTATTTGCATCCTCTTTAAGACCTCATCGTTGATTTCAATTTGGCAGTCATCGTGTTAATAGTTTACTCTTTGCTCTGTAATCTGATATATTGCATCGTTTGGTGTAGTGGTCAACGAAAGCTTTTACTTTAAATTTACTCTAAGTTTTGCATCATCATCTTGTAAAATACTTTTTCGAACAGGAGTAGTTGAACAGGCATCATTTTGAACTAACCTGAGGAGTTTAAATAAAATTCGAAAGCGAAGACGTCTGTATCTTCCGTAACTTTTTAATGCATACTATGTTTAAATATTTGTTTGTTAGAGATTTATCCAATTGAACTGGAAGAGAACGAATCCGTAGAATAACTGCATCTAAATTAAAAAGAAATTAAATAGCACACGACGAAGACAAAATATAAAACAAGAGATGAAAATAAAACTTATGCCAAAGTTTTGGTGATTAAATTGCCATTCAAATTATGAAAGAAATTAATTTCAACTGATCATGACACAAAAAAATTGATAGAAATGAAACAAAGAACTGATTTTCATTCGATTCAATTGAAGTTAAATTGAAAAGCGATGCGTTAATTTGTTTTAAAATATTTGAAGCCGGTAGAAAGAATTAAATGACTGCGTTTAATGCAAACGTTTGTTAGTGGTTAGAGCACAGAACTGGAGACTGAAACGTCTACAGTTACATTTTTTTTTTACTGATAGTTGAACCAATATAAGACTCTAGGGATCAATCAAGGTAAAGGGTTACTGAGTATTGAGGTAAAAAAAAGAATACAAGTTGGGGGTAAAAACGAATGCAAGTTGGGGGAAAAAGAATGCTAGTTGGTGCAAAAAGAATGCTAGTTGGTGCAAAAAGAATGCTAGTTGGGGCCAAAAGAATGCTAGTTGGGGCCAAAAGAATGTCAGTTGGTGCAAAAAGAATGCTAGTTGGGGCCAAAAGAATGCTAGTTGGGGCCAAAAGAATGCTAGTTGTGGCCAAAAGAATGCTAGTTGGGGCCAAAAGAATGTCAGTTGGGGCCAAACGAATCAAAGTTGGAGCAAAAGAAATTCAAGTTGGGGAAAAAAAGAAAGCAACTTGGCTAAAAAAAAGAATTCATGTTGGATCAAAAAAGATGACAGTTGACGTAAAAAAGAATTCAAGGACAGCAATGGGGGATCAAAAGGAATACAATACAATTTTGTAAAAGCATTTTGTTCAACATCGTAAAGAAACGGTTTCAGCTGAAACTATAAATAATAAGTATAAGATACTCTTGAGATTCTTCATCCACACCGGATACCACTTCCATGAAGAACGGATCTGATAGTCGTAAACAAAGAAAATGTGACCTTTGAGCTCTTAGAAAAAGAGACACTGGGTGAAGACGAAAGAAATCGGAAAAAATGGAAAAATACAAGTACCTTGCTAGAGTAGGGAGAAAACTTTGCAACATGAAATTTACTGTCCTGCCCATAGTAGCTGGCGGACCTGAAACTGCGAATAGTTTTAAAAATACGGAATCCAGGAGGCATTAATATCAGCGTTGATGGGGTATCTTGCGAGGATGCTGAGAAAGTGTTGTAGATTTTCGTAGATCTAATGTCATTCAGCCTCCCGCGATAATCACGAGTCTCTCGGCATAAATACCCGACTGTGTGGAATATAATAATTTTAATACGGACGTCATTGCAAATAAAGTGATTTGAGAAATCAATCCAGCAAGATCAATGATGAAAATTGAACCCTGTCAAGGTTGACTATGAGGGTAACAGCCGTTTTCCGCCGCTTGAGTAAGTAAAATAATTATAGTTGCCTCTTTCAACCATTTGTAGAATAGAAATGACCATACTGCTTGGAACAGCGTGCAAGGAGAACTAGATTCATGCCTTTTCCAAAGTCAGTGGCGTGGAGTGAAAAGCCTCAGATGAAATTGGAATTCGTATTGAGGACCGGTAGCCTCAACACTACTACTTCTTATACACTATTTAAATTATTCGGACTATTGTCCTCATCTTTGTTGCCATAGTTATCACGTTTCAGCCGTTGTACGCTCCGGTCACATGGTTGGAATGTCGAACTGAACCCTTTATTTCGCTCGCTGGGGTAGACTTTCTAGTTCCACTTGCCTTGTCTAATGGATGTCAGTTATCAGTTATCTCCTGTTAATTCCCCTCTCCAAGATCTCCATAGTCTTAAACAGGTATTGAACCCACACTCTTTGGGTCCTGTCACTGGATCTAACCAACGCCTTTATCCACTGTGTCACGTGTCTTTGAGGAAATGTAAATAGTGTACATAATACCTCATCTCTGAAATATAGACAAATGCTACTCCTTATCTTCAATAATAATAATAATAATAATAATAATAATATTTCACGAATTCAGTGGATTCATTAATAAGACTGGGTGAATAATTGAAAAAGGTTTTCTGTAGAAGTGCGTGCAAGTGAATCAATGGCTGACGTCGAGATTTTATTAATGAAGCTAGTGCGCAAATCCGCCATAGAATGAATTAATAAAATAATATAAGAAAACCTATAGGAACAAGAAATTCGAATAAGTGAGGGGTGTATGAGAAACACACTTTCTCCCTAAACCAATCTACAGTTGTAACAACGACAAAAGATGCACAAAACGTGATCTGCACCTTGACGTGTGTCCATGCGCATCCCGTTTTTGTAGTTGGGATTCTTCAATCAATTCCGGAAAACAATTTATTTATTCATTTCCTTATTTTCATTTCTCGTTCGTTCCTTTCTCTCTTCTCTTTCTCGTTCCTTTCTTTCTCACTCACTCGTTCCTCCCCTTCTCCATCTTTCTCTTTGTTTCCTTTCTCTCCCCACTTTTTCGTGGCTTAATTTCTGTCTCTCGTTCGCACCTTTCTCTCTCTCTCTCTCCTTCCTCGTCCCTTCATTTTTCTCACTCCTTTCTCGTCCCATCCTTTCTCTCTCTCGTTCGTTCCTTCCTTTCTCTTGTTCCTTCCTCTCTCTCTCTTGTCTCTTCTATTCTCTTTCTCGTTCCTTCTTTTCTCTCTCTCTCCTTCCATCCTTTCTTTCTCCCGTTTCTTCCTTTTTCTCTCTCGTTCGTTCGTTCCTTTCTTTCTTTCTTTCTCCCGTTCCTTCCTTTCTTTCTCCTGTTCCTTCCTTTTTCTCTCTCGTTCCTTCCTTTCTTTCTCGCGTTCCTTCCTTTTTCTCTCTCGTTCCTTCCTTTCTTTCTCCCGTTCCTTCCTTTTTCTCTCTCGTTCCGGCCTTTCTTTCTCGCGTTCCTTCCTTTTTTTCTCTCGTTCCTTCCTTTCTTTTCGCGTTCCTTCCTTTTTTTCTCTCTCGTTCCTTCCTTTCTTTTTCTCCTGTTCCTTCCTTTTTTTTCTCTCGTTCCTTCCTTTCTTTCTCCTGTTCCTTCCTTTTTTTCTCTCATTCCTTCCTTTCTTTTCTCCTGTTCCTTCCTTTTTTCTCTCTCGTTCCGGCCTTTTCTTTTCTCGCGTTCCTTCCTTTTTCTCTCTCGTTCCTTCCTTTCTTTTCTCCTGTTCCTTCCTTTTTCTCTCTCGTTCCTTCCTTTCTTTCTCCCGTTCCTTCCTTTTTTCTCTCTCGTTCCTTCTTTTCTTTTTCTCCTGTTCCTTCCTTTTTTCTCTCTCGTTCCTTCCTTTTCTTTTCTCCCGTTCCTTCCTTTTTTCTCTCGTTCCTTCTTTTTCTTTTCTCCCGTTCCTTCCTTTTTCTCTCTCGTTCCTTCCTTTCTTTCTCCCGTTCCTTCCTTTTTCTCTCTCGTTCCTTCCTTTCTTTCTCCCGTTCCTTCCTTTTTCTCTCTCGTTCCTTCCTTTCTTTCTCCCGTTCCTTCCTTTTTCTCTCTCGTTCCTTCTTTTCTTTCTCCCGTTGCTTCCTTTTTTTCTCTCTCGTTCCTTCTTTTTTTTCTTTTCCCTGTTCCTTCCTTTTTCTCTCTCGTTCCTTCCTTTCTTTTCTCCTGTTCCTTCCTTTTTTTCTCTGGTTCCTTCCTTTCTTTCTCGCGTTCCTTCCTTTTTCTCTCTCGTTCCTTCCTTTCTTTCTCCTGTTCCTTCCTTTTTTCTCTCTCGTTCCTTCCCTTTCTTTTCTCCTGTTCCTTCTTTTTCTCTCTCGTTCCTTCCTTTCTTTTTCCCTGTTCCTTCCCTTTTCTCTCGTTCCTTCCTTTCTTTCTCCTGTTCCTTCCTTTTTTTCTCTCTTGTTCCTTCTTTTCTTTCTCCCGTTCCTTCCTTTTTCTCTCTCGTTCCTTCCTTTCTTTCTCCTGTTCCTTCCTTTTTCTCTCTCGTTCCTTCCTTTCTTTCTCGCGTTCCTTCCTTTTTCTCTCTCGTTCCTTCTTTTCTTTCTCCCGTTCCTTCCTTTTTCTCTCTCGTTCCTTCCTTTCTTTCTCCCGTTCCTTCCTTTTTCTCTCTCGTTCCTTCCTTTCTTTCTCGCGTTCCTTCCTTTTTCTCTCTCGTTCCTTCCTTTCTCTTTTTCGTTAATTTCTTTTTTTCTCGCGTTCCTTACTTTTCGTTCCTTCTTTTCCCTCTCTCTCGTTCCTTCCTTTCTTTCTTCCGTTCCTTCCTTTTTCTCTCTCGTTCCTTCCTTTCTTTCTCCCGTTCCTTCCCTTTTCACTCTTGTTCCTTCCTTTCTCTTTCTCATTCCTTTCTTTCTTTCTTTCTCTCGTTCGTTCCTTTCTCTCTCTCGTTCCTTCCTTTTTTTTTATCTCTCACTTTTTCGTTCCTTTCTTTCTCTCCTTCCTTCTTTTCTCCCCTTTCCCGTTCCTTCCTTTCTCTCACTTTTTCGTTCCTTGCTTTCTCTTTCTCCTTTCTCACTTCTCTCTTTTCTCGTTCCTTTCTTTCTTTCTTTCTTTTTTTTCTCGTCTTTTCTTTATTATTCTATCCCTTTTTTTCTTTCCTTTCTCGTTCTTTCTTTTTCTTTTTCTTTTAAACAGTACACTATACTGTTGGTAACAATTGCACACCAACGGAAATTACCGAAGAAAGACCTACGATGAACGGCGATGATTGTTGAGGCCCATTTGCGTCGTCCACAATACAGCCTCGGACTGAGTGGTCAATAGACGCCCATCTCCTTTCCGGAACACCTCACCCTCAAATATCGATTAATCGATCGAACTTGTTTTGGTCACCGCATGTACCCCACCCAAGAGTTTGTGAGGAAATGTGTTTATCTGTGCGTGAGTTTAGTTATTAAAAGTGCTAATGTTTATAGACTGTCAGTTATTTCGAATTTCCCTATAACTAACTGCTCGAAGACTGTACATATAAGATTAAGATAAGTTGTTTAGTGTTTTTGTTTTTTATCTTACAACACAAAGAAATTCTAAGAGATGTTCGGGCCACTGAACTTAATTTTTAGTTACTTGTGTTGTTACAACAACGTTCCGGCCTATTCATTATGCGGCCTTTTTTCAAATATAAAATCTATAAGGGGTGGGGGTTATATTTTTCTATAGAAAATGGTAGCAAACCAAAAAGATATAAGTAAATAGAATTAAATGGAAGGTCGAGAAACTAAAGGAAGCAGTATACATTAGCTTAATGGAAAGTTGTAATGAAAAGTTATTTTTGTTTATCCGTTTGAAGCCAACGTTTACAAATAGTTCTTGTTCTTCATCACAAGACATCCTCCAAGAAATATTTCATAAATGATAAACCGTTAACTTCCAACTTTGATTCTGTAAAATATTTACCGAAAAAAAAAAAGAGCTCATTTCTTGTAAAATATGGACGTGTGGATGGTGTAATGGATAACTAGGAATGAAGAATCGGAAAGCCGAGTTCGAATTCCAGTCAAGTTGTTACAATCACTTATGCGCAAATATGCCTGGGAAGGTGTTATGGGACCTTACCCATAATAACATAATGGACTATTCCATACGTAATAAATACTGTGCCTCAAGAGGAAGCAGGAAGTTTAGTCCGAAGTCGGGCGACCGGCTGATCGGTTGAACTCTCTGCCTTCGGGCGGAGAGAAACCCGAACGAGGCTACGCCGAAGGGTGGTGTCCCTTTCGGGGTAATTGACCCTGAACCCGTTTATACGGGTTCAAAGGGCATATTTTTGGCCGAGCCCACGGGCTCGGAGATCCCACGTTAAACCGGCCCTGTGCCACATGATGCCCTCGTGGGTGGGGGTGACTAAATACTGTTGTCTGAAGTCTGGAGTGAGGTCTGTCAGAAGTCCGTCAGTCAGTCAGTCAGAGCGAGCGAGTCAGTCAGTCGAATCAGAGGCAGTCCGAAACAGAGTCGCGTTCAGACAATTACTACAAGACATTGGAATAGTGATCCCTGGTCGAGACTACATTGTTCTCCCTACTAAACCTGATTGTTTGTACTAACACTTTCTACTTCTCTGTATATATTCCTGTTTGTAATATATCTGTGTTATTCCATATCCGTGTTCGAGTTCTTTATTGGTTCTACCTTGAGCTATCGCTGTGGTACAAGGAACCGGACCATAACAGAAGGTATGTTTGTTTGTTCGTTTAGCGGCATATCAACACCTTATGGGTCATTTAATGCTGAAATTTAATTTTCTTGGGAGCATTAGTCATTTTCTTTACACAAATTTATTCCTGGTCATTTTTTTCTTCAAAAATTTAGTACTTGTATTTTCACTATAAAAAAATATTTTTATACTTTTATAGTGTTTGAACGCAGGTTGAGGCTTAACTATCTGCTTAGAGGGAAACTGGGAACAATAGAAATTTGGAGATGCTTCCACGCTCCTCAAAACCTCCAGTTTCCCGATCAGAGGCCGTATGTAGTTTATCGTCATAGACGGAGAAGGTATGAATGCATCTCCCCAGATGTGGGTTAAATAGTAAATCTTACATCTGGAAAAATAATTATTCCCATAAAATTCCTAAGCAATATTTACTCAAAAAAAGAAGAAAAAACAGGAATTATTCTTACAATCTTAAATATGTTTCAGTTTAAAGCCACAAAGGGTTGACAAACCGTAAAAAATAAATCAATCTCATAAAATATCATGGAATTCAGTTTAAATCCACAAAGGGTTGACAAACCGTAAAAAATAAATCAATCTCATAAAATATCATGGAATTCAGGTTAAATCCACAAAGGGTTGACAAACCGTAAAAAATAAATCAATCTCATAAAATATCATGGAATTCAAGAAGCGAAACTTGAAGAAAGAAATAAAAAAAGAAGAACATTCAGCAGGTGATAGTGCTCTCATGCGCTTAGCGTTTGCTTTAGCGAAATAAAAAACCTCGCCAATTTCGATTCTTTTCATTTATATCTTATTTCTTTAAATAATAGCCTTTCTTCATCATTTCACCCCCCAAGCAAGGTAATAATGCCACTAAGACGTAAGAGTGTTAGAGAAAATGGCGAAATACTGCTATTAAGGAGAGAGGACAATAAAAGATCAAGAGTTAAGAAGACAGAAGATAACGATTGACAATGCACATAGATTTTTGAAGATCAATGTTGATTGGGGATCAAGAAATCGGAAGAGAGTTCCACAAGAAGTACCATAGAAAAAAAAAACTGTTAGCATAAAACTTCCGGTTACATCTAGCCATCTCAACTGTAAAATGATGAAACCTTCCCGCCAATCGCGTACTGAATCTAAACTTATAGTTACCGGAGAGGAACAGTTTATCCGAACAATTACCATTTATCATTGTTACTGAAATATTTTGTTAAAGTTGTTAAACTCAAATATTTAACAATGCAACGTGGAGGATATTTTATAGTTGAAGAACTTTCAAGAAGTTTATTCAATCGTTAAATTAAGAATTGTGATACGTCTGAAAATTCAAATTTGAAAACCATGAAATCATTATGGATAAATGCTAAAGTGATGAATTATTATACATCCAGTTCGGTATACAGGAAAAAGGCCAGACGGGATTCTTTATTTTTGTCGATAACGATGCCATAAAAATCTTCTAAATTGACACAATAGACCACATATAAACCAGGAGATAAATATTTCATATAACCTCCTTTAGTAATATTCAGTAGTTCAGTTATGGCCATTATTAGATCGAATTATTCTGCTTCTGCAAAAAGAAGAACCAACAAAGATTCCTGCTTCTTAGAATTCCACAAACTCTCTTTGTTGGAGAACCATCTACTTCACACACACACACACACACACACACACACACACACACACATACATATATATATATAGTTTTTTTTTTCTTTTTTTTATATCCGGAGTTATATTTTCCGATTTCTTTTTGAATTTTTAGGCCTGATGAATTGGATCGTGATTACGATTCCAATGTAATAAATTATAACCATGGAATATTAGTGTTTCAGCCTTTTATATTATATTCTTACTCTGTCCTGGACGTTGAGCTCTACCTAGATTCTATCCTCTTGGAAATTTATATATATATTTATTGACCACTATCTATCTATCTATCTATCTATCTATCTATCTATCTATCTATCTATCTATCTAACCGGCCATGTTTGTCTGCTTAATTTTTTATTATATTTTCCAACTTTCTGATGAGATGTTGAGTATTATGTTCGGAGTTGTGGATAAACAGTCCGACGTTCATACTTTGTTAAACTTTAGATTTATGATATTTCTTTCTGCACTAGACTGGTTGACAACCAAGGCTACAGAATCCAGTCTATCGTGCTATTCAACGCATACCTGGTGAGATTCATAACTTTCCCAAGGATTTTTGCGCCTAAGCGAATGTAACGAATCCGACTGGAATTTGAACACTGCTCTCCGAATTTTTATTTCGAGCCACTATCCATTACGCTACACCGAACATCAGAAATAACTACTGCTGCTATTATTATTATTATTATTATTAATAATAATAATAACAAAATATCTTCAGTATATATTTTTATTTTATTTTTTAGATGAAACATTGTCAAAGAAAGAAATAGAAAAAAAATTGATATTGGTTAGAAACGGAAAAATCTGTTCCGGCCCAACGACCTTCCAAAGTGTAAAAAAAAACAAACTACAACGACATTTTTTATGAACGTACACGTACACGTACACACACACACACACACACACACACACACATGTATATATATTTATGCGAATAGAATAATATATTTCCATCAATAGGCGAGTTATAAAATAGATTATCACAAACAATTTTCAGTTGAATTTATTTGCACATTCACGCATGTAGTTACGAATTTTTTTAATTTACTAATCTATCTATCTATCTATCTATCTATCTATCTATCTATCTATCTATCTACATAATTTAATTATCTATCTATGTTATTCATTTAAATATCTAATTCAATTAAATACCTCTCTATTTCTATCTCTCTCTCTCTCTCTCTCTCTCTATCTATCTCATTCACTTAAATATATGTATGTCTATGTATCAATCTCATTCACTTTATCTATCTATCTATCATCTATCTATCTATCATCTATCTATCTATCTATCTATCTATCTATCTATCTATCTCCTTTCCAGATAGATAGATAAACGTAGGAGATAGATTGATAGGTAGATATATGGGAAGAGACTGAGATAGATAGTTCAGCTGTTCGTCGTTTTGAAGTTAGATAGATAGATAGATAGATAATGAACACACATGAGATAGATAGATAGATAGATAGATAGATAGATAGATAGATAGATAGATAGATTGTCAATATTAGATAAAGTAACAAACGTGAGGAAAACAATATAAATCCTTGAGTCCAAACTTGTCGAGCCGTGTTTAGACTTTATCTCCGTTTGGTGTCCATACTTTTTTTTGAGCAAGATACCATTGAAGGCGAATTAGCAATCATGTATTCACTCAAAAAAAGGGAAGCAAAAAAAACTTAAAAGTAAAATCAACAATAAAAAAAAAACAAAACAAGACAAAAAACAAAACCAAAAAAAATCAATTTTATCCTTCTTCCTTCCTTAATTTTTTTTTTTTTCTTTTTGTTGTTATTCTCGGAGACATGACTTATTTCAAATTTCTATCAGCATATTTTCACACCCTTCCCGTTGGCAATCGATGTTATGCAAATCACGTATGATCATAAATATAGTTTTTTTTTCTCTCGCGAGACTTGCACCACCTTTCGAAGAAATGTAACCTATGACTTTTGTCTAAGATTTCTGAATATTTGAAAAAGAAAAAAAAAAAAAGAAAAGAAAAAATGAATTTCAAAATTACTTTTGTATGTGCATGGTAATGTGCATTTATTAAAAAAAATAAGTACATTTATGACGTCTTGTTTTGTTCATTATATATGCATGTATATAATTAAAAAAAAAATCCCATAACAGTGAACGAAATAAATAAAAAAAATTACCAATCAATAAATTCCGGCATACATGTGAATACCCGCAAACATATATATATCAACTAAATTCTTTAAATGAATGCATATTGACAGATTTTTATGTGCTTCTTTGAATTTTTCTCCTTTTTAGTCTAATTTTATTTATTTGCGTATCGTTATTCACTTCCTATTTATAATTGTACATATATAATTCCTTATAGGACTAAAAGATGTGAACAGTTGCCCCAAGATAAAAAAAAAATATATATATATCTAGGCGCGGTTTCAAATCTGTTGGTAGACGTATCTAGCGTCTTAAAAAGATATATATTTCAAAGATTCCAGTATCTTCTTCTTCTATGAGCTGTGACCAGTCATGACGTTGGCGATCATAGCTCTCCACAACTTCCTGTCCTTTGTAGATCTTAATAAATGTTATCGTTTTGTCATGTTTCCTAAAACTTGTTCCGCCATCTATTTACTCAAACACACTTGATAGGATATGCGTTGTTTACCTCTGCTCCTCTTGCTTTCAATCTGTATTGTGAGCACCAAATAATGGCTCTCCACAACTTCCTGTACTTTGCAGCTCTTAATAAATTTTGTCTTTCTGTTATTTTTTCCTAAACTCTCACTCACCATTCATTTACTCAAGTTCACTAAATATGTTATGCGTTGTTTTCCTCTGTCCCGTTTGCATTTAATCTGTCATGTGAGTATCATATTTTCCAAGCCGTCTTTCCTCATTATGTGCCTTAGAAATTTCAACTAATTCTTTCTTTTTGCTTCCATTTTCTTTAAAACTTCATCGTTGCTCGCGTGTTCAGTCCATGGTATTTTCACCATCCTTTATTTCTGTTGTCTCTTCTTCACTTGTGAGTAGACAGTCCATCATTCATTGTCATATAGAAGGACTGATGTTACGTAACAGTTTAGTGCTCTTTGTTTCTAACGAAATTTTTCTGTTTCCTAATATTTTGCTTAGGTTTTAGGGGGCCTCTTTCGCTATTTCAATGGAAACCTCAAAATCAAGCAGAAACAGAAAATTCAATATTTTTTTAATCAGTCCTCCACCAAGCAAGACGATAATGCCACTAAGACGCAAGAAAGAGAATGCGATGACAATAAGAAGACTTTAGAAGGAACCGGAAACCCAGTCCTAAACAGGAAACAAGGAATAAATATCGACATCCGTTAAAAAAAGAAAGAAAAAAAAACGAGAATAGTGTGAACCAGACGATAGGCGAATCTATCTGTTTCTTTTGTTTATGCGATAAAAGATGGCGGAAAGTGTAACATAGAAATTGGAAGATGCAAAGACATAACAAAAAATACCTTTCAGAAACTAGACAAATTTGTTAGAAAAGATTTTGTGTTTCTTTGTTTTTCCGACTTCGAATTCTTCCTAAAGATCTTTGGGACTGATAGACGTTTTCCAATAATGGCGGGTACAATTGCTATGTTTATATTTTACAGATTTTTGGCAAGGTTTATATCACGTTTGTAACCATTTTTCGCTTTTAATTTCGCTCTGGTGATTGGCATAAGACAGTGAAGTCTTCAAACTGACAGATCTTTTCGTTGCATGCAACTAATCTTCTTCTGGCTTTGTTTGGGTGACCTGGTTGAATTTAAGCATTTTATAAAGCTTCACTTTTCTCTAACTCTGGAGAGATTTGTGCTTATGTTCATTTTCTGGGGCATGATAATGGCAAAATTAGCGGTAATGGAAATTTTTTACCGTTTCCTTATCAGGAAACTTTCGGAATTTATTGACCGAGCAGCCAGTGCTAATTTCAGTTGGTACTTATATAATATTCCCATAAAAATATTCAGAAAAATAGTTTACTTTCTAACCTTTCATTTGATGTAGTGTGGAGTATCAAGATTTTGATTATGCCATTATTTTCTGCTCGATTTACATGGAATATTCATTTTTATTGTTGCTGTTTTTTGAAATTCTTCAAGTGATATGGTTTCTTTTATTTGGAAGATTTCTTTATTATTCTGTAGTATTAATGAGGCTCAAAGAATGAGGGTCCTTGCTAGGTTCATTCACGACTTATATTTAGCCATTGATCTGGGAAAGTGGCTGATAGTTTAAATATTACTAAATGAGTATGGTGTGATTGATCATAATGTCTGAGCGATTAGCTTTCATTGCTCTCTCTGTGTATTTTAAAGTCCCATAAAATTGTTAAAGGTCATTGTAACCGGGTCTGGGTGATGTTTATATTAGTTTCTTGCGTTTTCATTGCCGTAAATGTTATTGTCCCCGTCTATCAAGCCGAGTTTTATATTCAGTGGGTGCTAACTTATTTATTACAATTTACAATAATTTATTACAACGTTTCGGCCCTTCAGTATCTGTCTATATTTCTGTGATGAGGTATTATGTACAATATTTACATTATTCGGACTATTGTTTTCATCTTTGTTGCCATATTTATCACAACGTTTAGACAAAGAACATCATTGGAAAATTCATAAACTTAAGGAATCAACACATATGCTAGGCCACAAAAATCTCCTGAGCTGACCAAGCACAGAAATGAATAACCAGTAATAAGGAGTCCCAGAGAAAGGCGTTAATAACAACAAATATGTGCTCTGGTAAAACATGAAAAAAAATTGCAATATGAGCACTGATAAAAAATAGTTGCTGAAGACATTAGGTTAATAATACCCAGTAATTCATACACAGATGTCTTCAAGGACACATGGCACAGTGAATAAAAGCGTTAGTTAGATCCAGTGACAAGATCCAAAGAGTGTGAGTAAGGCGGTGGAGAACTTGGAGAGGGGAATTGACAAGGGATAACTGATAACTGACATCCATTAGACATGGCACGTGGAACGTTTCTGTCGTTGTACGCTCAGTTGAACTGAACCCTGGTCTACCGCAGAAAGAAATGGCAATCTACTGCGGGAAAAAATCTGCCTCGTCAGCGAGCGAAATAAAGGGTTCAGTTCGACGGAGCGTATAATGGCAGAAACGTATGATAAATATGGCAACAAAAATGAGGACAATAGTCCGAATAATGTAAATAGTGGTCAATTATTCGTGGATATTTACAAAATCGGCATTTCGGGTCAACACAATTTTTCAGGTTGTGTGCTTGGTAAGTTCTAGTTAGGAAGCATTGGTCCTGTGCGGCAAGAATTCAGCTTTTAACCCTGCACTACGCAACCACTGATGGGCACGGTGTTTGTCTACATCAGCTTGTTTGGTTCAGGCAGAGTATTGATCATGAAGATGCTTATCTTGCCATCGTTTCTGCATTGGTATATTGCATTTGTTTTCTTTTTTTAGACTGTTTATTATTATTATTATTATTATTCATTCTTTGCAATAATAATGATCTAATATTAAGTGCAATTTGAGCTTGATCCAAATTTCCGGATCACGAAATTGTATTTTTTTTGTAGGGAAATAAATAATTATATAGAAAGAAATGATTAGATAAAATAATAAAAAAAACATCTATCAGAAAATTCAGCGTCCCTTACCGCCTGAGAGACGCCATTAGCTGATACTAACAAAACGGAAATTTAAGAACAGCAAACAGATCTGAACGCGTAAAAAACGTGCCTAGAGGAGAGACGTTTTAACAAAGCTTTAAGAATATCTATTTTTCTATTTCAAGGTCATTTTAAAATGGCATATACGAGACATTTGTCTATTGTCTCACATGAAAGGAGCCGAGAAAGAGTAAGCTTTGCGAAATATATCAGCGTAATTGCAGGCGTACGAGCGAATAGATAACTCTCTCCTATATAGGCTCTTCGAAATTGCTTGTACGAGATGGAGTCAAAAAATAATGCATTTTGTTTTATTATATAAGAAATAAGGAACACAGTGAAACATATTGCACATCAAGATATAGATATATCAGGTCATCCCATAAGTTCTGTCCGAATTTTAACTTTTTGGTAAAATGAACGAAATTTAAAGAGAATTTTATAAT